TGGCCTTTTTAGAACAGAAGGAGAATCGCATCATATTCCCAGAAAGCCCTCAATTTATGCATTGGTATTTGGTTTGCTAAGGCCCAGATGTGTGCACTGCAATAAATTCATCAATAATATGCTGCAAGGGTTACACTTTGCTATTGATAAAATCCAGTACCAAATCTCATCTGCGATATATACTTGTGCTGGTCTGAGATCTAGACTTTGATGAAGTGGAAATAATCTAAATCAGGCGGGTTTGAATGTAAGGTTGACTTCAGTGCCCTGGAGTATTGCAGGCTCAGGAACCAGACTAGAGATTGCCACAGTGAGTTGATATGATTTTGACATTCCATTGCCAAGCAGGTCACCTTGGAGCCAGCTCAGTTCCAAGGGGACCCTGCCTACTTCTTCCCCCACCGAAAGCAAAATAAAATTGTGATTGAACCAGTGGCATTAAACCTTTGATAGCTGTGACAGTAATGGAATCAGAGGACACTTCACAGCCAGCAGGGAGATGCTATAAATGTCTCCAAAAGGAGCCTGGCTGGTTGGATGACAAATAACAAAAACACTCACAAGTGACTTACAGTTATGGTTAGTGCTCACAGACTTAGTTACCCTATCTTCCTCTGCTGCCTAAAGCAGTATTTATGTGCCACTATCTGTGTATGCTTCTATTGATTTAATACACAATCTAAAAAAAATATCTATATCTTTATGAAAGACTTTTACAATTCCCTGATCATAGGTTGTACAAAAAATATCATAGGTATAAGGCTGTCACCTGAAGAGTGTCAAATGGCCTCCTCCTAGGCTGCTAGACTCCTAGACTGCTCAGAATCTCTGGCCAAGAAATGCCCTTCTTCTGTGCTGTATTTCTATGATTTTAAATCAGATGCCTGGGAATCATTTATAGAGCTAAAAACTCAAGTAAGGATTCTGGTAATAACTTAATAGATCAGCGAATGCAGTACTTTAGCAACCACATTCTGAGTGAGAATGCACACTCAAGGTTGTTTTATTCCTGGTCTGACAATAAGTCTATTTCCAAGCCTATGTTTACCTGCACTAATATCTCCATACATCAGAAGAGTTATGCCATTGTATTCAAATGCATGCTCCATGTATTTATTGACACACAGCGTCAGACAGCTTTCCTTCACCACGTAATATGATTTGCCCAGTTGCTTGACTATTCTGATTTCTATCCTTTGTGCTCTGTTAATTTCCTGCTCTGTGAAGTTTAATTTACATCTTTCATTTCCCTTCTCCAGAGGCCCTCTGGCACCTGAAGCCAGTCAAAGCCATTTTGGGAAGGAAGCATTGACGTACATTTGTCTGCGTCCTTCTACAGGTTGCTAAGGAGCTCATTATTTTCCAGAAGGCAAATCTAAGCCATCTGAAGTATTAATGGGAACCGAAAAGAACTGTGGAAAACCTAAACCTTATTGATAACAACCTAGATTTCATTGTGTCTTTTTAATCAAGCTTCCAGATCACTCAATTGTAATTGCATCAATAATGGCCCCAAAAGACATTTATCATCAAAAATGAAGCTTAGATCGATTAGTACCAGTGATGGTTAATCCTTCAGAAGAGAAATTTCAACTGGAAACTAAGCTTTAATACAAGTTTCAAGCAAATACATGCAAGCAATGGACTGTAAGGCACTTTAGTTATTTTTATAACTGTAAACCTGGGGTGATCCAGCAGGTGGAGTTCGATAATTATGTTTTTGATCACTCCTAAAACCCAGCTTTAACAGCCTGACAAGATTCTTATAGAATGGAGGTTTGCTCCGGAGGAATAACTGTGTAGACTTTTCCAGACTACATCTTTTATGAAATGATCTGGACATTAGTGGCTTAGCTCCACCCAATGTAATTATGGATTTTTATGCATCAAACTTTCCAAAAGAGCACTTTTTTTTTAGTTAAGGTACAGATCAGCCATGATCTTATAGAATGGCAGAACAAGCTCGAAGGGCTGAATGGTGTCCTCCTGTTCCTATATGTTCCTATATATATGTAGATATATATATATATATATATATAGAGACAATAAAGTCCTACTTTCTAGTACCATGTTGTTTACAAATGTAGCGCTGCCCTTAACATCAGCACTGTAATGTGAACACGTCTCTGTTTGTCAGGAAGCCAGTAAGCAACACTGTGACGTGTTTGGGAATGGGTGGAATTCTACCCTCTCCCAGTGACCTACAATGTAAGCTGTCTCAAACCCTCTCAGTAGTAGTAATGAACCTAGATGCACTGGTGTGGGTCAAAAAACGTTAAAGGGTTATTGCGGTGCTGATTGACAAAGCTTGAAATAGATTCAGAAACATACTGTATCTATTCCCTCACCAATTCTATACCAGTTGATAAGAACTGGAACTTTGTGGAGTCCTGTAGCTCAGTGGTTTAGAGCACTCGCTTTGCAAGTGAGAGACCTGAGTTCAATTCCAGGCAGAGGGCGAAACCTTGGGCAAGTTTCCTTACTCCACACAGAGCCTAATAATAATCCCTCCAAAAAAAATAATAATAAATTGGTCATTTTCAATCCATATGACTGTTTGTGGGACATTGCTGTGCGCAATTGGCTGCCACGTTCGCCCACAACTATACAGTTAATTCACTTTACAGTGTGTTCTGTGAAGTGCTTCGGGATGTCCTCCCGACGTGACAAGCGCTATATCAAATGCAAGGATTATTATTATTATTATTATTATAACAAAAACAGACTCCCAAATGCATATTAATACTATTAATTAACCCTAACAGTTCTTTGCCTGTATTAACTGCAACTTTTTGCCCACAAAATATACAGTCAATTCATTCTACAGTATATTCTGTGAAGCGCTTTGAGACGTCTCGAAGACGTGATCAAATGCAAGGATTATTTTTTATAACTGGCCTATTATACGCCTGTTTAAAATGTATGGTCACGTATTGCAAAGCTCCATTTACCGTTCATGCAGTATTGCCATTCACAGGTATGTAAAATCCATCTGAACAGCTGAGGCTGAAAGTTGTTTTCAGAGTGAATGGCAGATTGAATGGCTTTTCGTATTAATCTCGCTATGTGAGGAGCTGTGCAGTTCCCTTATGCAATTGTTTGTAAAATCACATACCAGGATTATGAACCTGAGACTGATGCGTAAACTCTGATCCCTACCTGACAATCCAGCAATTTCTACTGATGGGGCACTGAACGACAACAATAACAAACAGTTATTTAGCACCTCCAACGTGAAAGGAATGTCTCGAGAGTGCTTTAGATTTGAAATGAATATTAAGTCGACAAATATGACAGCTAATTTGCTCCAGCCACATCCTACAGAAATTGTTGCCAAATTAAGGGAGCAACAGTCATCTCAGTTTGGCAGGGAGTTTATTTTAATTTTCTCTCCTTCTTCCTAAGGTCCCTTCAGATGACACACCTTGTCATCCAGGCCGCTGGAAATGCCACGCTTGTGTCAGCTGTGAAGAAACACGCCCTGCTTCCCCATTGGTGACTCTTCCTCCGACTTTTCAGGTTCCTCTTGTCACGTAGCTGGCATCATCTCTGTGCCTCCTCCTCCTCCTCCTCAATTCGTGGCCCAGATTTTTTTAATTCAACCTACAGGGACTTGTGGACAAAAGACAAATGTGCTACCACTCCGTGACATGATGCTGGAGTGCTACCCAGCACATTCTCCTCCAGGATATCTTAGTGAATTTAACTAAGTGCTGTGCACTCAGTTTGGTCTTCATTGCCCTCAGCAAGGCTATTTTACTTTTGCACCATGTGTCAGAATCACATACTCAAACTCAAAGATGAGCCACAGTGTGAATTTAGAGGCAGAGTAAAGCTCCCTCCGTACAGCCCTCTCTGAAACTTCAGGAAATGTGAATGACAGAGGAAAACCTCACCTTGCCAAGAAAAAAATCAGCGTACAGAAAGCAAAGATCTTTGAGGATTGATGGAGCTCTAAGTCAGGAATAAGCCAAAAAGCCCTAGAGATTTGCTTGTATCAGCAATCTGAATAGACCACAAATTTGCATACCTTTTAGTTAAGGATGCATTTTGTACTCATCCAAGGTGCAGGATGTCAGTTGTGACTACTTTTACGTGCTTAAAGGTGAACAACAATGTGAATTAGACACAGATCAAAGTCCCCATCAACAATCCCACCCTACTGGGTTCGCCGTTCTGCTTCCTAACAGAAAGTCATGCACAGGTACGCAAGCAAAAAACACAGATCATTCCTCCATTTCCCAACCTCTTCTCTCCAACCTTGGTACGCTATAACCCTCCCACCAACCTTGACCAGGTCTCAATGTGGACTATTTGCTCAACTCAGCCTGTCCCCACCAATGCTGTGCCCAGTCAATTATCCTGCTCTTTAAGGAGTTATTTTAATCCATAGCATCAATTGCTTTTGCTGGAACTCAATTCTACATATTCACTAGAATATGGGACCAAATAGACTCAGCTATAATCAATCACAAGCTCAGTCATGAGGCCTTCATTGATTTAATAGGGAGCGGCATTCTCTTCCATGCTGGTTGCTGATCTGAAGCTGTCAATCATCAACCGAGTCAATGCTTGGCCTCCAGGAGAAAAACGAATGCCAACTCTTATTAGATCGATGGAGGCACTCACTTCCTGAACCAGTCCGTGCTATGTGCTACCTGCTACCCTGCATTTCCTTTTGGTCGGAGAGAGGATGTCTCAAAGTGCTTACAACACTCAAGTCTCAGCCTGGGCACCGAGGTGGGAGTGGAAGCCAAAGCAGGTGGGATGATGAAGGTAGACATATTATGACACCAACAAAATGGGAACAGTGACTGAGACAGGTCATACTAGTCCCAAGATCCCAATGATTGAAGACAATGAGGCCACTGTGGAGAAGATAACTACTGAACATGAGGCATAAAAAAACCACTTCCTGGGTTTAGCTGCTCTAAAGCAAGATTAACAGGCAACATAGCGTGCAGTATAAAGCATCATATAATATCATTTGCAATGGGTACCTGTCACGAGGAAACTGCATGTCCCAGCACCAGCCTCATTGATTATGCTGCAGTTGTAAACCCCATAGCTATCTTTGGAGAGATTGTCCACTCTAATCTGTGTGTAATCTTGCGACTCAAATCGGCCTGTTAACAGAATCTTATTTCCGAGCCTCCATTCGAAGGTCAGCACACGGGTCGGGTAGGCTTTCAGGACTCGGCAGGTCATGGTAATGCTTCTGCTTTGACCCTGTCGGATCTCCAGGAAGGCAGGTTCCACCGTGGGGGGGTCTGTAGAGACAGAGACAGGAAAATATGTGAACAGGCTTGTTGACTCCATGTCGATCAATCGAATAATTTGTAACATATCAAATTGTTTCATTGTTATCTATGTGGAGAGACCACATTATCCAAATAATAATGATAATCCTTGCATTTGATACAGCGCCTTATCACATCTTTGAGACATCTTAAAAGCACTTTACATAATATACCGTAAAGTAGATTGACTGTATAAATACAGTACAATACCAAATTACATTTATAAATTGCCTTTCACGTCAGGAGGATGTCCCAAGGTGCTGAATAGTCAGGGATTCTAATTGATTGTACATCTTATATATGTTCAGTTCAATAACTGCTTGGAATATTATATGGAGAAGTGACAATTGATTATTGTTAATTGACCTGTTAAAACTGCGCCTCAGCCAGCCAGCAAAAGACACAATTCAAGATGGTTAAACAGGTGACAATTTCTTCCCCAAGACCAAACATTGTATTGACTCACGTATTTCCATTAGGTATCTGGGCCTGGCTGAAAAGATGTGACACTCACCAAACTAACATGCCATGTATTAGCTGGCTTTACGTTAAGAATGAAAGACCCGTTTTAGTGCAGTTCTCGCCTCTGCTTTTATGTCCTCCTTGATTTAGGAGGAGAACCATGTAATCTTCTAGAAGATTTTGTAGCTAAATTTCTCCCCCCATATTTCTCAGTCAGAAATCCAAGCCAGCCCTTAACATTGGTGAAAATCAAATCCATAACTTTTCAGATGTAATCCTGTCATTTTTCTTTACCAACTGACCTGAAAACCACTTTCACTGAAACCAATGTAAACGGACAGAGTTAATTTGTCGGGATACTAAGGTTGAACACGTTTACGTTGACGGTCAGTTTTTGAGAACTGAGGATTCTCTTGAGGCTATGATGATGAATGCGAATGGGAGAGGTTTACCCTTGTGAAGACTGTGGGTGAGCAGTTTCCTTGGATAGACACTGAGTGGGTAGTGGCACGATAGAGATATCTGCAGGATATTTGTCTCCTCACTGAAAACACCGAACTTTCAACCAAGTTGACTGAAGTCCTTTCATTCAAGATAAAGTAAAATGGCCAACAGTTTGAGGCCACAATGTTAATAGGGAAACACATTATTGTTGGGGGGAAGGAGGGTGGGGCGGACAATGACAACAACTTGCATTTATATAGCGCTCTCCACATTGGGTAGCGTCTCGGAGCGCTTACTGAACAGTGTTTACTGAAAGTAAAGTAAAAGTAAAGCTGCAGATTGTTTAAGGTGACTTGTTATGCTTCCACAACTCCAATCATTTCATTGGAATTACATTATGATGTTGGTGCACTGTAAAGAAAATTACATTCCAACACCTTTTGTTCCTTTCGAGCAATGCTGGCATTATATTGCTCCGAGTCTTTGTATCGACATTTCATTGCCTTGCGAGTTATTTTCTTTTCCAATTGAAAACTATTTGCGAGAAAACATTCCTTTAATAATCTGAAGAAAATGCTCATTCCTGAATAAAGAGGGGAATAAAAGACCTATTATGGATCATGTTTGAAGCCTGCTTTGCCGAACAGTCAATTATTTAGAAAGAATCGCAGCCCTTTTTGTTTGGGGGTTGAAGACAGCAGCAATAGTAACTCTGTCCCTCTCTGCCATCTGTCAATGTGTCTTTGGTGGTTCCCATTATATACACAGCAAACCTCTTGAATCATTGCTGAAGGCAAGCTTACTCTTTTTGTGCTGCTGACCCACACCCACTAAGATGTGGCTTAGAATGACCAAGCCATTCATCTTCTCACAGCTGATAGAAAGATTTAGTGTTTGCACCATCAATCTGGGCTGGGGAGGGAGGGAGGGTAGGTCAATTTACTCTGATTATTGCATTTCATTAAAATGCGATAGTGTAAAGATCTGTACTTTAGCGATCAGGGAAGAATAGATGCTCTCCAAATCCTCACGCCCATGAACATAATGTTCAGATACCAGATTGGTTGGAATCGGTTGTAATATTAAGGAAAATCTGCTGGTCGTGCCAAAAAATGACCAATTCTGTTCCATTTGTTAGTACAAATCTTCTTGCTTCGATGGGCCCAAAGTAAAATTGGGCACAGCAAAGGCCTGTGGGTTTATCCTCACTATATAGTGTGGCAACTGAGGTCTCTGGCATCTTACACAACAATGCCCTCAGTGGAGCTGGACGTTGGATCTAACCGTACTACAAAACCTCAGGAGGACTAGACAGAAGCAGCAAGACAGCAACTCAGCCTTCTGGCGATCCTGTCAGTAAACCCATTAATGTGTACAGCCTGCCAGGGGCTTCTGAATAACATTCCTTAACTTGTGCCCAGAGGGGATATACAGCATTGTGCAATAGTCCAGTCTTCCAGTGGTACTACTGTATTCACAATAGAGCCATCAAGCATCTGGTCTGTACAAAGCCTCGTCTGATGATCAGTAGGTCGTCAACATGGGACGAGGATTTCTGCAGCCTGGGAGCCAGCCTGAGCCATGTTAAGGCAATATGACATTCAATGAGGTGTTTTGATATTTTGCTGCAAACCATCACCAAACAGTCATCTTCTCTGCATTATTAATCCCTTAATCACACATGCTTTCCTGGACCAAATGCTGCTTTAACATCTCTCGCTGGCAAACTAAACATGGTTGGATTGGAATCATCCCCGCGCCAATGGTATAATAAGAGGGGGGAGAATTTACAACAAGTGACTGGTGTTAATTATCATATCACATGAAATACCAGCTGGTTGATATCAGGCTGTGAGTGTGACACTTGTTGATGACTTGCTGGGGGTTTGGCCACCCAGCTTTTCAGTGCTGATTTATGAGACATGGGTTTATAATAATAATAATCCTTGCATTTGATATAGCGCTTTTCACGTCGGGAGGACGTCCCAAAGCGCTTCACAGAACACACTGTAAAGTGAATTGACTGTATATTTGTGGGCGAACGCGGCAGCCAATTGCACACAGCAGTGTCCCACAAACAGCCGTAGATTGAAAATGACCAATTTATTATTGTTTTTGGTTTTGGAGGGATTATTATTAGGCTCTGTGTGGAGTAAGGAAACTTGCCCAAGTTTCGCCCTGACCTGCCTGGAATTGAACGCGGGTATCTCGCTTGCAAAGCGAGTGCTCTAACCACTGAGCTACAGGACTCCACGTTTATATCTTTCTGTCGAGGTATGCTGGTATCCTGCTCAGAAACTGCACTCACAGCGGCTTTGGAGAGACATCAGGCAGTGGAACAGGTCTTCAGCTGGGAAGATCGAGTGCAGTTCCACAGTTACAATGGTGAGACCGAGTGTGGGAAGATGTGAATGACAGAGTGAGAATGAGCAGACAGCTACAAGAGCTGGCAGAACAGAGGGCACACTGGCAAGGTCTCGTGCAGTCTATAAGCAGCCCAATTTGTGATTGCTGACAGTGTGGAGTATGAAATAAGAAGCATTTGCACTGTGTGACGGCGTGTTTTAGTGTTTTTTTTAATAATAATCATCAAAACCTTGCATTTGATACCGGGCCTTATCACGTCGTTGAGATGTCTCAAAGGGCTTCACAGAATATACTGTTAAGTGAATTGACTATGCTTTGTATTATTACTTACAATATATTCTGTGAAAAGTTGAGACGTTTCGAAGACGTGATAAGGCGTTATATCAAATGATTAATTACTATAATTATTATTATTATTATTATTATTGTAAATTGGATTAACTGTGAATCGTGCGGGCGAATTTTTTTCACTTGTGAAATAAAATTTCATTTGTGTGAAAAAGCTGAGCTCATGACCACACCAGACATGAATAAATAATGAAGCTCCTTCACGAAACAGAAACAAAGGCCTTGAACCGATCATCAAGGTTAGAGATTCTGTTTAGTCTATTGTTATGGGAATCCTTGCAGCAGCGAACACCATTCCTGCATTTTTAAACAATTCTGGGACTGTTACTTGCCATTATTAACCGTGAACTGTAATTTCGATCTATAAATAACTATCATTTTCGCGCACTTTCAATTAAATATTGATCCCATGAGCCGTAAATTACAATACGCTCGCGGTACAAACATAAATTAGACATCAGGGTCATCAGAAAGGCCGTCTCCTAATGGAGTTGGCTTTCCTCTTAAAGCTCTCAATGGTGCTGAAGGCTACAGACAACGTATACGGGTGCCCTGCACCGCGCTTGTCAAGCCAAAAAGGTAACTAAAGTCAGGAAGTTCAGCAGAAGGCAAGAACCTCCAGCCGTACTTATTGTTCCCACAGGTTCTTCTGTTAATAATCTTTCCACATGCAAGTATAACGCCACACTACACCAATCAATTATAACTGTGGAGGAAGTGCTGGCAAGTCAGAGTTCCTGTCAGCAATTTCCCAAACCTCCGGAAGAAATCCAGGGTTCCTCATCCAGAGAATGTCAAAGCCCAAAGGGGTCTGTCTGTAAATGGGTCAAGTTTGAGCCTAAATTTGTTTCAACGTGGACAACCTGAAAACCTGGTGGCCGGCAAGCATCTTCTTCAGTCCTGTGGCCTAATCCCTGAGCTATGTTGGACTCAGCTGTTATCCCATTTGACTGTATAACACTCAGCAATTCTGGCTTTGTAGTATTATAGAAACTTGGATATCGTCTGGAATAATTGTTCTAAAATTCTTCAAGTACTGACACGGTTTAGGCACAAAGTTCCACAGGGACTTCAGCCAGAAGACTCTCTGCAACTCTTTCGCTGCTAAGAGGACTATATTAGACTCTAGCAGAGTGTGATAACCAGGGGGAATTATCCAGGCCCTTTTTTTGTTGGATAGAAACAAAAGTCTTAATGCAACACAATCCTCTGCCCTCTGACGTTAGTTAACAGTTTGGGTTCTGCGATGTGAATGAATGAACACACATCACTAGGAAGCGACTAGCTGGTTTGAAAGAGAAGGATAATCAGGAGGAATAAAAGAGGATAATCAGACCTGAAACCTGAAA